CTTTGTGGCAGCCCCTCAAATATTGAATGATGTTCCCTCCTTGCCCTCAAACCAATTAATTAAAAAAAAAACCATGAGGAACATTAGCAAAGGCATAAAATGGTCTAGCCAACCTCAGCTGATCTCAGAAGCTTAGCAGGATTGACTCTGGATGCCCTTGGATGGAAACCAACTTAGAATTCCAGAGTTGTAGGCTAAATGGGGAAATTGAAGAAAAAAAAATTCTAGATTTGCTTGTTTTTTTTTGGGGGGGGGATAACTGTTGGTGCTGGATAACTACTTTGGTAGGCCAGCCAAAAAAAAATTATGGTATGAGCCGTCAGAAATCAAGCTTGGCTGGAGGGCATTTTTACCTTTCTATTTTAATTAGTATCCTCGGCATGTAACTGAGAAGAAGATAGAGAGATGCTGGCATTCAGAAGACACTTTTCATCAGATGGATTATTTGACATCAGAACACACTTCTGTGACCCCACTGATGAATCCTTCTTCTGATTTTAACCACTTTTTCTCTTTTGCTGTGCCCTCTGGTTCTCTGTTATCTACCCTGGTTTACAAAGTTCAGACCGGAGAATCAATGTCTACCTTAGGTAAACCTCAACATCCCTTCAGGATAAATTGAAGAGTAAGCATCTTAGTGAACATCTGATGCTTTGCTTTTAATATTAATGGGACAATAAACAGGATGATAATGATGATTAGATATTTTAGGTAGCAACAGCTTTACAGCACATTGGCTACCCAGCTGTAAAAGGAGAAATCGTGGTCTGTTTGTGGACCTAGGAAACAATTGGCTTGGCTCATTAAAGTTTCTGTGCCAAACACATGAAGTTTTAATTATGAACATTTTGAAATATTCATGTGCCTGGTTTTCCTTATTCTGGTACCGAAATGAGATAAAAGTTCTTTTGAAATCCGATGACATAAAACATTTGATACTGACACTGTGCGGTTACAGAGTTGTGAGTTAATTAGTGTGAGTGAATATTTATTTGCTTGTAGACTAATTCTCTCCCTTGGAGAGATCTTGGGCAAAAATAAATAAATAGAACAGGAGTTTATAAGAAATTGACCTATATTAACGAACAATATTAACAGGGAATAGTTAGGGGTACTATAATCCTCACTTTGAGATTTAAACCTTCTGCTTTCAATTCTAATTCCCTGTTAGTTTGATGTTCTTTGTATGTGAATTTTTTTTTTCAATAAAGCAGCCAGACCTTGAACGAAGATCTTAAAGAAAGCATCAAATAATGCCCCTTGAATGTGGAACGACAATTGGGGCAATGGGGCTTGGAATGTCTGGCAGGCAGGAAGAGGGCAAAGAAATCTCTCCCTTAACAGTTCATAGAAAATATCCATAAGAGTATAATCTATGAGACTATAGAGTGTAGTTATGCAGACAGTTGCTTTAGTCTGGCAAGATTCTGCCTGTAGGCGAACATCAATAAATAAATTTCACAACTTCACTTAGGACTCCAATCTTGCAAACCCAAAGTAATCGTTCTGGAAGGAAAGGGATGCATTTTTCCAAGCAAATGCATTGCAAACAAATTTGGATCTGGGGGGTTGGGTGGGATGAAAATCATTAGAACCTCAACACTTGGAGACCTTTCTCCCCTGAACGAGTTTCATACTCTGCCATTTCTCCGAAATAAAATAATAGCAGTGGCCCCACGTTCATGGGGGCATATCAGCGTCTAATTGCTGAAGTATTTCTGCCTGAAATCTTACAGCTGTAAAATGTCCTAGACCTGTTTTGTAATGTCATGTTCATTTAATGAACAATAGTTTGAGCACTGTTTAGTAAAAATCCAAGTCGGTTTTGTTCTTTCTAAGGCTTGCCCTACCAGCCATAGGCTTTCTACATTCAGGTCAAACTTGAGGTCATGATAAATAGCAGCAGCAGTGAAGGAAATGATCACAACATCAGAATTAGTGTAGTAACACATTAACCTTATTCTTACTATATATCTTACTATATATCTTCATTGTTGTATTACAACGTAATGCTACGCTAGTATTAAGAATGGGGTATGCAGCTTCTCATGGCTCAAAAGAGACCCAGGAATTTGAACAGCAATTATTGAGATACGCCAGAACTTGCGTGAAATCTCAGGACCCACTTTTTGAGGAAGATTCGAAGGTTCTGAGAAAGTCAAAAGGATTGTCAAACTCACACATGGCAGAGGGCCAAGCTTGATGACTTTAAGACCTGTGGACTTCAACTCCCAGAATTCTAGATCTTTCTTGGTCCTTCAGCTGATAGGAAAGCAAAAATTCTTAACTAGGGAATTATCTGTTACCTAATCTTAAGCTCCAAATAGACATTGGTACGGTACGATGGCCTAATATCCCTATTTCAAAACGAGAACAATATACACACCACAGAACAGACTCTGCTCTCTGGACCTTTCCCTGCTCTCATTATAACCCTTTTTATGAGCTATCACTAAGGTCTCAATTCTGGATGGACAACATATTGCTCTCCAGAGAGAAGGGATAATAGCATCCACAGTTTCCATCCATGAGTTATGATCCAGTATGTCCCAAAAATGCCACTTTAACTCCTGAACCTTCCTCAAGAATGGCCAAAGAAACTCATTTAAAGACTCAGCTTTAAATTTTCATGTGTTTCTCCAATTTCCAGCAACTCCCCCCAAACTGCCCCATAGCAAACAATGAGTTTACTTAAGGACCACGGTGTTTACTTTATGCCCACTGTATTCCTTTAACGACCATGGCAAAAAGGGTGATAAAATCAGGCACAATCATACGATGATCCATTTTAATGAACAGTGTGGTGGCACAGTAGATAGAATGCAGTATTGCAGGATAACTGCCCACTGTCAGGAGTTCGATTCTGACTGGCTCAAGGCTGACTCAGCCTTCCATCCTTCTGAGGTCAGTAAAATGAGGACCCAGATTGTTGGGGGCAATATGCTGACTCTGCAAACCACTTAGAGAGGACTGAAAAGCACTATGAAGTGCTATATAAGTCTAAATGCTATTCCTAACTCTGCCCACTGCTGGGAATTCAATCCTGACCAGCTCAAGATTGACTCAGCCTTCTGTCCTTCCAAGGTCTGTAGAATGAGGACTCAGATTGTTGGGGGAATGTGCTGACTCTGCAAATTGCTCAGAGAGGGCTGTGAAGCACTGTGAAGCGGTATATAAGTCTACGTGCTATTGCTTGCTATCGCTGTTGAACTATAACTGTAATTGCAGGCTCATTTATAGTCGTAAGTCAAGGACTACCTGTCTATGTAAGAAAGTTTTCATGTCCCGTCAGGCCTCCATCTGCTGCCTCCATTTCCCCCCATTTCTAATCACTGGGCGCATTGATTTCACCAGGTCACAGAGTGACACCTCCTATAACTAATGGCGGCGAAAGAGCTTTCGAACAAAAATAAATAAAAAAGCAGCAAAACGAATGCTTCAGGACTGATGGCCATCCATTCTTGAAGGGCATACTTCCGCAAGTATTATTCATGGAAAAAGTCCCTTTAAAAATCGATAATTCTCTAGGAATGAGTGATAGCTCCCCAAATGATGGATTCCGTGCCCTGGATAAGACTTTGGCAGTTTCTTGGGATTGCCTGTGAGCAATTTAGACTGATGGGGGCTGGGGGAATTCGCAAATCTTCAGCAGGTATCCTAGAGTCCCCTAATTTTTGCACAGGTGTTATCTTCGTCTGGGGATATTTGCATGCAGTGGGCTCACACAACCCAAAAAGATCCTTCTGACTATTTTACAAGATCCAGACATTACCTGCATGATATAGCTGTAGCTTTACAGAACTCATTCCATGGAGAGTTTTGGAATTTCCTTTGAGTCAACAGTTTCCTTAAAAAAGCAATAACATCATAGATATCTGAACTGATGTTCTGGATCAGAACTGACCTAATTCCTGTTGAGTACTGTCTTCTGAATCCCATCATTTTTTTTGCTCTTTCTTAGAGCTTAACTTTGATGAAGATTATTTTTTGATTTTTAACTTTTGGGCATTTGATTGTACCATGGAGATTTTATTGCAAAGTACTGATTGTCTTCCCTGAGGGACAACCGCTTCTGAGAAACTAAAATTGAATCATAGGTAATATACTTTCAGTATCATCAGCTGAGAAACTACACCAGAAATGGATTTTTTCCCCTTCCTTTTCTCCCTGTGAGATCCCGTATGCTACTGGATCACCACTATGCAATATGGAGCAGAATAGGTGAGTTCTTGGTTTGATCCAGTTTTAGGCTTCTTCTTGCATCTTAACATTAATCTGTTTGCCTTTCCCAGTGAATAAGAGATGAAAGAATATAAGGGAATGCTAAAAGTTAAAAATGCACATAGGAAAGCCCAGAATGTCACCCAGTAATTGCACTGTAATAAATAAATAAATAAAAATAAATAATAAAATAAATAAAATAAAAAATAATAAAAATAAATCAAATTTATTTTTGATTTCAAAAATAAATCAGAAGCTGAAGACAACATCATAAAAAGTAATAGATATCAAAAGAGAGCCAAGAATTCTAGATCTTTCTTGGTCCTTCAACTGATAGAGAAGCAAAAATTCTTAACTAGGGAATTATCTGTTACCTAATCTTAAGCTCCAAATAGACATTGGTACGGTACAATGGCCTAATATCCCTATTTCAAAATGATGACAAAATACAGACCACAGAACAGACTCTGCTCTCTGGATCCTTCCCTGCTCTCATTATAACCCTTTTTATGAGCTATCACTAAGGTCTCAATTCTGGATGGACAACATATTGCTCTCCAGAGAGGAAGGATAATAGCTTCCATAGTTTCCATCCATGAGTTATGATCCAGTATGTCCCAAAATTGCCACTTTAACTCCTGAACCTTCCTCAAAGTGGTAGAATAGCCAAAGAAACTCATTTAAAGATTCAGCTTTAAATTTTCATGTGTTTCTCCAAGTAGGATTTTCTGAATTACATTGGGGGGGGTGGGTGGGCGGAGAGAGACAAATATACAAACCCAGTGAAATAATCATCTCCTCATTTGTAGGTGTTCCTTCATCCGGAAGAATTGCTTGATGACCAATTGTCTCCCAGTTGTGCTGGTGAACAAAAATAATCAAATTTTAAAAATCCGTCCTGCTGCAACTACTTGTTTTGTGAGCAAGGTTCTGCATGAGACAGAAGCAGGGTACGTTAGGAAAACACTTCAATTATTCTGCTGGAGCACTTCACAACTCCCAAAGTAACAACTCTCCCCCCCCCCCCCCCGCTCCCAAGGATAGGATTTGTAAACAACATCATGCCCAATTCCTTACTTCTCTTTTGCAGAACAAATCAGTCATCCTTCACTGAAAAATAAAGGGAAGGATTTGCAAGGAAAAAGAGGAACAGATGGAAGAGATAGATAAATAGATGTATAGTGTGTGTGTGTGTGTGTGTGAGAGAGAGAGAGAGAGAGAGAGAGAGAGAGAGAGAGAGACATAGATAGATAGACAGATAGACAGACAGACAGACAGATAGATGAAAAGAGAGATAGAAAGAGAGAGAGAAATGAGAGAGAGATGAAATAAATAGAGATTATCTGAGATAGAGACAGAGAGAAAGACAAACAGACAAGCAACTCCATCTCAATATTTAGCATGCTCAACCTGCTTCTAGTAACCCAGCATGGAATTTTCATAAAACACACAGAGACTATCTAAGTGTGTTTTGAATAATGTACTTAGGAATGCCTTATTGGCCTTTTAGCATTAAACATATGATGGACTTTAGATGCATCAAAGCCTTATCTTTGAGCCTTCCTGTATGGCAGTTGAGCAGCTCCATGGGGGTAGATCAATACTGATGCACACAAGAGCGATTCAGGTGTTTTCACGTCACAAAAGGTTCCCAAATCATCCAACTGGCTAAAGTTGTTCTCACTGTCAGGAAATTTCTCCATACTTCTAGGTTGGACCTTCAACCTATTACTTCTTGTCCTGCCCTCAGGTGCTTTGGAGAATAAGTCAATCCCCTCTTTTCTGTGTCAGCCCTTCAAGTATTGGAAGACAGTTATCATGTCCCTCCTAATCCTTCTCTTCGATGGGCTAGACCAGAGGCCCTAACCTTTTGGGCATCTGGGACCGGTTCCATGGAGAGAGGTTTTTCCATGGACCAGAGAGTGTGTGGTTTTGTGTGCTGCCTGCATCCCATGGATGGGGCTTTGGTTGTTTGTGTGGACTGGTTGCTGGCATGCTGCAGCCTGGTACTAGTCCATGGACTGGGGATTGGGGATCTCTGGGCTAGACGTACCTAGTTCCCTCAAAAGTGGAGTGATTCACGTCTGGATATGGTAATATGTCTTCAGTATATTGCACTCCAGATATCTGAAATGTGGCTTGTCTCATATCTGGATGAATATCCATCCTTGTCTCTTGGAAGTCATACATTTCACAGACCAGATAATTGCTTAATTCCAGGTGCAAAACATGTTGTGCCTTCATCCAAGGAAGTGCTAAAGGCAGGATATGCTATTTGGTCTCTGAAGGATTGACTGAAGATTTTCATTTGTTTATTTATTTAGAGGGGTGGGGAATAAAGCAACTTTCTTCCTTTCTCCCCAGCAAATGTCTCTATTGCGAGTTTATTTGCCATCTCTGCTTCCCCAGCATCGTCCTTCTGCTCAGACGTATTTCATTGGCATTGATTTCCATAGCTACATTAGCTTGCAGTTCTTAAGCTCAATTTCAGTTCATTATCTTTGGGCTCCTGGCTCTCGCTCACTTCCTCCATACAGAGATGTGGTTTGCTTTTAAATCCAGAGAGTCGAGGGGCAATTGGGGCTTTTATTTCAAGAGAGGCTCTGAGCAATTTGAAAAGCCAGGGGAATTGCCTAAATTATTTTGAGAAATATGGATTTCATCTAATGGATGTGGCTTGCATCAGCCTCAACTGGAGAGTACTTTCTTTTATATATATATAAAACTGCTGGGTGAATTGTCTTATTATGGAAGTTGTTGGTAATTCGTTGGACGTGAGTGGACAGTTCTTATTTGCAACTTCAGAAAGTTAGGCTTTATGAAGAAGGAATAGAGTCATCATAAGCAGAATGAATGAAGTTCAGCTGGGCAACGTGCTCCATTTAACTTTGCAAAGTTTGGAAAGCTTTGCCACACTGGCCTGAACTAGCAAACTGATGAAACTGTGGGGTCCTTGGTGCTCTCGGAATTTGGTGGTTTTCTTGCAGATGTTTCATTACCAAATTAGGTAACATTATCAGTGCTAGAAGGGAGGAGGAGGAGGAGGAGGAGGAGGAGGAGGAGGAGGAGGAGGAAGAGGAGGAGGAAGAGGAGGAGGAGGAGGATTGTGGGGTCCTTGGTGCTCTCAGGGTGGTTTTCTTGCAGATGTTTCATGACCCAACAAGGCAACACCATCAATGCACTGATGATGTTTATATATTTATTTACTCATTACATTTACCTAGGCTGGTGTAATGAAACATCTGCAAAAAAACAAAAACAAAAAAACACCAAGCTCAGAGACCAGCAAGGACAGGTCAACCCTGAACTACAAATAATCTCTGCTATCCGAAACTGATAAAAACAAGGCTGATTTGCAATGACAGAAAGCTTTGAAGACATCTGATAAGTAGTCTGGGTGTAAACTAGATTTAGCTGTGTTTTTCTTATCACACACCTTTCAATCTGGGGGGAGGGAGGGCTTAAAACTTCTTATTGATTCTCCCCACTTTACATAATAACATCAGGAATCCCAAAAGAGACCAGTTTGATCTGTTTAGTCTGAGCACCCCTGTCAGTGGCAGGAAGTCCTATAGGATTTGGCCGAATAAATCAACAAATAGAACATGATGGGTGTATATGTATATATTCATGGATGCCTTCCTTTGAGATGCCAGCTTTATATGCTGATCTCTGGCTTGTTTTAGCATGATGAGCAGGAATGGGACATCTTATCCTTTCTTGGAGAATGACATAACCAAAATTCAGTGTCTGTTCTCCAAACAATTGGCCCTTGCAGCTTTTATTAAAAACTGCTGAAGTTTCAAGACGGGGGGCATTAAGAGAAACTAGTGAAGAAACGAATGGAATAAATGGCTTTCTGCAACGACTAAAAATGGAGCACAAATGTAGCACAGACCAGTGATGCAATAGATGGAGGTTCCTTATAATGCAAACCTTGGTGAATAAATGGTGTTCTTCAAGGATTATCTCCTGGGCCTTTAAACCTAACCATTAATTTGCAGTCTGGATCCTGTACACAATAATACTTTTTCAGTCATCATGGCTCTCCCACCGTTCCCCTCCCCTCCATTTTAAAAATTAAAGTGAGATGGGAAGCATTTAACCACATCAGTATGAATGGATTTTTCACATCACATTAAGCTGCAATTTAAGTGGCACACTTAACTTTGGCTCAGCCCTTTGTGAAAGGGGACTGGGCTGCAAAATTTCCGATCACTACTAAATGCCAGCAAAGGGGAGACAGAAAGTTTTAACCCTCTGGTGTCATTTTTGTTGCCTAGGTCTGGAAAGCCTAAAGTGAGTATACTTTGAGGATCATGGTTTGTGGTTTATGTGCCCTGTGAACCCAGCTTATCTAGTTTGTTTATAATTTATGGTTGAGGATTTTGTAGTATAAAAACCCACAATTTTATTGCATGGGATGTGTAGGATAGTGCAAGAACCACATACATCCTATGAGATATCTGCCTACATTCTCCTCGCCTTTGAAAGAAACTTCAACATGATATTGCATCAGAAGTTATATGGGAAGAAAACCAGGATATTTTTTTTCCCCTGCATGGCACGAATTTAAATTATGACAAATTCAAAATCTCCTCCCCATCGCATCAAAGTTCTGCATTCTCCAGTACATTGCTGCGCCTACTGCTATTAATCTATAATTTCCTGCCCCTTGAAAATCAATGCATTCACAAGTGGTTGCAGGTAGCAGGACAGTAATTCTTCATCTTTAAACAGAATGAATTCTTATTGTTCATTCTTCTTTTTCTCTCCCCCCCCCCCATGCAATGATATGAAACCTCAAATGCCATATTATCAAATAGAAAAGCAACAGGCCAGGACAGTTTGAACCCTCTAAACAGATGGAAAGATAAAATCATTTTGCCACCAGATTCAACACAGCAGAAACCTGAAGGCTGTGACGAAAATCGGTTCTGGCATCCCAGATTTCAAGTGTTGCACATGGCAGCACATCTAGCTTGTGATCCACATATATTTGCATCCTTCCCATATGTACGTCTGAATCAGCTTCCAGGTGAGGATTTATGATGGACTAGATGTTCCTGAAGAATGGAGATTGTCAACAAGAGAGAGAGAGAGAGAGAGAGAGAGAGAGAGAGAGAGAGAGAGAGAGAGAGAGAGAGAGAGAGAGAGAGAGAGAGAGAGAGAGAGAGAGAGAGAAAGAAAGAAAGAAAGAAAGAAAGAAAGAAAGAAAGAAAGAAAGAAAGAAAGAAAGAAAGAAAGAAAGATTACAAGTCTCTCCTTGAGGGGCAAATACTCTCTATGGCACGAAGGATTCTGGTTTGCAAAAGAAGAAGTGATAGGGGAGGCTGCTCTGATTGTCACCCAGCCCTGATCCAAAATGCCTGCCTGGACGTCTGATAGTTGTGACAAAATGCAACAGAAATCAAATTTGATGCAGCCAGCAGAGAATCGTAAAAGATATTGCAACATTTAAGGCTATAAAACCAAATTTCTTTTCTCTTGGGTCTTTTTCAAAAGCTGGTGTGCTTCTCTGAACCCCCAAGTATCTGTAAGGCTCCATTTCCACATTCTTCTAATGATTATAGAGGTTTTTTCTACAGATGTGGCAAAGTTATCACCACCTGGTGGTTAAAAAGTATATCATACTTCTCAAACTGACCAGAGATGGAAAACATGCAGTATCTATTACTCTAAGTCTAAGCTTACTCCAGACGGGACCTTTTTAAAACTTGGATAAACTTAGGAACATCCAAGTCTCTTTTTCTTAGCACTTCTTAAATGCACACACGTGCCCAGACTGCATAAACACACCTTGGTTCTTACTTTGTCCATTGTACTCAAAGACAGTCCAATCCTGATCCCATTTTCTGAAT